CCTTTCATCCACCTTAAGGATTTCAACCACTGAGGTAGTAGGAGCATGTCATCACCTTGAGGGAGGGGGTGTCACCGATTAGTATCAGGCTTTACTGATACCCTCAGATCCATAAGGACGAGATTGAGAAGCTGATATGAGAGATGTTAGAGGCGGGGATCATCAAGCCGGGCATAAGTTCTTTTTCTAACCCAGTCCTACTGGTCAAGAAGAGGGATGGGAGCTAAAGATTCTATGTGAATTATCAAACCTTGAATAAGGAGACTATGTCAGGCACGTTACTTATTCTGGTGATAGACAAGTTGCTGGACAAACTATGTGGAGTGGGGGCGATCATAAAGATGGATTTAAAGTCCGTGTACCATCAAATCAGGATGAGAGAGGTTGATGTCCCGAAGATAGCACTCCAGACACATGTGGGACACTACGAGTTGTTGGTGATGCTATTTGGTCTCACCAACACTCTCACCAACGCCCCTACTACATTCCAGCCCCTCATGAATAGGGTGTTCCAGCCATACCTTTGGAGATTTATACTGGGTTTTTTTTAAGGCATCTTGGTGTACAAAAGGTCGGACGAGGAACAATTAGAGCACTTGAATGTGGTGTTGGTGTTATAGAAGCATCATTTACGAGCCAACCTATAAAAGTGTTGTTTTGCACAGTCCAGTGTAAAGTGCTTGGGGCACGTGGTATCTTAAGAGGGGGTGTTGCTGAAATGGATGCTACCTACGACTCTGAAGAAGATGAGGAGTGTCTTAGGATTGATCGAGTACTACAGGAGGTTTGTGAAGGGATACAACTTTATGATTTGGCCCCTAACGGAGCAGCTAAAGAAGGCCATAACCATAGTATTGATCCTGGTCATACCAGATTTTAGCCAAATTTTTATAGTGGATGCTAACACATCATGGTATGTATTTGGGGCGGTACTCATGCAAAATAACAGGCCCATGGCTTCCTTTAGTCATATGTTGACAGTCAGAGCAAGGGTGAAGTCAATCTATGAAAGGGAGTTAATGGCCATTGTGTTAGCACTTAGCTATATAGAAGTGGCTGCCTTACTTGCTAGGCCCACATTTCATCGTCAGGATAGATCCAAGGAGTTTGAAGTGACCGTTATAGCAGGGGATGGTGACCGATGATCATCAAAGGTGGCTATCAAAGCTGATGGGAAATTATTTTGAGATCTATTATAGGCCCAAGCTAGAGAATAAGATGGTTGATACCTTATCCAGATGCGTGGGAGAGCTCCAGAACTTAGTCATTTAAGTACCACTGATGTTGGATTGGAAAGCTATTAAGGAGAAGAGTTAGCAAGATGAGGAGCTGAGGGGGATTAGGACGGATCTGTTGAAGGATGAGAGTAGCCACCCTGCCTATTCCCTAGTGGGGGATAGACTGTAGTACCAACGCAAATTTGTGTTGCCACGGACCTCCGTCAATATCTCACCTTCTACAGGAGTTCCACGGGAGCACAGTCGGGGGTCATTTAAGGGTGCAGAAGACGGGCAACAAAGTTGTATTGGAAGCGGATGCATAAGGATGTGGAGGAGATGGTGGCTAGATGTGAGATGTACCTGAGGAGCAAATGGATAGCCATAGATCCGGGAGAGTTACTGCAACCTCTAACTCTTCTAGATAGAGCATGGGAGGAGATCACCATAGATTTTATAAATGGGTTACCTAGATCTGAGGGGTTTGCAGTGATTTTAGTGGCGGTGGACAGATTGAGAAAGTATGCTCATTTTATTCTCCTACAACATGCATACACGACAGTGACAGCGGAGGCGAAATTCATCAGGGAGGTGGCCAGGTTACATCGGATACCAAAATATATAGTGTCCGATCGAGATAGGGAGTTTCTCTATTATTTTTTGATGGAGCTATCCAGGCTACAGGGAACAGTATTGAAGAGGAGTCATGCAGGCAGATGGAGGTGGTAAGCAGGATCCTTGAGACTTACCTGGGATGTTTTGCTTCAGAGACACATCAGTTGTGGGCCAAATGGTTGGCATGGGCAGAGTACTGGTACAACACTTCATATCATTTGACTTCACAGATGACTCCTTTCAAAGTGTTGTACGGAAGGGGCCCAACTCACTTGGTGCACTTTGGGCAAAGTAGAACACCATTCTTATCGGTAGAGTAGTACTTGGAGAGAGGGATAGGGTATTGGCTGAATTTAAAATACATTTTTTGAGGGTTCAGAAGATCATGAAGAATCAGGTGGATGGGTGCATGAATGACATCCAATTTGTGATAGGGGATAGGGTATATTTGAAGCTTCATCCCTACAAACAAAAGATGATAGTTAAAAGAAGAAATGAAAAGTAGACCCCGAGGTACTTCTGTCCTTATGAGATATTGGAGATGATTGGAGCAGTGTCTTATCATTGAGGTTACCCCCGACCGCTACTATATATCCGGTGTTCCACGTGTCACAATTGAGGAAAGCTATCAGGGATCATGCATCCAGTTCAGAGTTATCAGTCACACTGACAGAAGATTCAGAGGTGGTGTTGAAACCACTGGAGCTAAAAGGGGTACGACAGGGAGAGGGAGGTATCAAGGAAGTGTTGATAAAATGGAAGAACCTACCGGACTATGACGCCACATAAGAGTCGTACAAGAGGATGAAGCAGCAATTTTTGCCTTTCCACCTTGAGGACAAGGTGGGTCTTTGGGAGGGGAGTAGTGATGGACCCTCCTATACTGATTTTCGTTTACAGCAGGAGAAACTCCCGCTTGCATTGAGTTTCCGCACCTTTTGGGTGGGGCCCAGAGAAAATAATTCAAGTGGGAGCGGCTAGGAGGGAAATTTGTTAGGGGAAGGGCTGTTTTGGGATTTGCCATGTTTTCTATGCCTTAAGTAAGTTATTTTTCCTAGGGTTTGTTTCTTTATGATTAAATTTGTTGAAATTAGTTTTTTCTTAGGTTGAGAGGGCTCTATGATGAGGACATCGAAGATCAACGGCTACGATTGTGTCTAGTTATTTTAATATATTTTATTTGTTATTTGTACTTTTCCATTTTTACCCTCACTTAAGGGCTTTGTTTTATGTTTGCCCTAGGGGCAATTGTGTCTTTTTATTTTCCTTCATGTATTTGGCTTATTAAGCCTCCCTTTCCTCTTGGAAAGGATGAGTGATTATTGACAAATTGAAAATTTCCTGACTTTGATCTCGTTTATGAGTTCGTTACATTTCAAGTTCCTCTTGTGAGTGCAAACGCTCCAGCGATCCTCTGCACGGTGAGTCGTAGGAGCAAGCTAGATCTCTTTGTGAGGTTCTAGTTTTCTTGCCTTTTTTTCGTTTTCTTTTAATTCTCTTGATTAATTCGTTGTTGTGGATATTGGATTGAAGCCACTTCTAGTGGAGATTGCGAAGTTTTCATGCTTTGGGATCCGGAATTTCCCCCCCCAACAATCTCCCTCCCTGCTCTTTGCCACGCCCTCCCTGGATTGCCCAGGCCACTGTCGCCTCGCCAACCGCCGGCTAGACCCAAGGCCACCGAGCCACCACGCCCTCCACCCCCCCAGCCCGCCGACTTTCCCCCTTGCCGGCCGGTCTTCACCCTGAACCCTGGATTCAAATTAGCATTCATGAAGCCCGTTACTACCTTCCTAATTTAGTTCCTTGAATTGAGGGCTCCAAATTAATTAGATCTCAATTTGAATTTGAAATTCAAATTAATCTTAATTAATAACCCTCATACTAGGAAACTTTCATGGATTTAAAAACCTGAAATATATTTCAGTTTTTATTAAAATTTGTTGACTATGTGGGCCCCATTTTACTTAACACCAAGTCCCCTCTCTCTCTCCATGTGGCCGACCACCTCACCCCATTGATTCTCTCTCTAATTGCCACCTCATCACCTCTTAATTACCTCCCAAATACCTCCCCTCTCCAACGTAATTTCAGTTTTATTTCAGATTTCAAATCTGAGATTTGAAAATCCCTGAAATTCTGCTCCACAATTGGCTGTCCAGATTTCTGGACTGGTTCTTTTGCTGTCTTGAATTTCAGGATCTGGAAAGCTGCTATTCTGCCCTCTCGAATTCCCTGTTTTGTTGTCCTGAAGGTTCCCATCTACCGTCCATAGACTCCAGCAGGCTTCACGTGTTGTTTCGCCAACCTGAAGACCTACTAGTTGCAGTCCATCGAAGATCAAAAGCTGTCCAGCCGCTTGGAAGGATTCCCACCCGCTGCCCAAGGATTCTAGACCAAGGTTGGTGGCTGTTCTCCCCTCAGAAGTTGCCAAACGGCTGTCCACAATCAACTAAGAGTTGAAGGCTGCTGCCAACCATCTTTCAAGCATCCAGACCTTCGCATAAGAGGTCTAAATTATCTTTTCATTGGGTAAAGCTCTTCTTGGGACTCCTCTCTTATGTCTTATCTTCCTAGTTTACTTTTCATTTATGGTTATTAATGGATTCATGAAGATCATGTCAATTATTCGCCGCTAGAACCTAGTAATAGGAAGAGTTGTGTGAGGGATCTTTCATAGACTAATCTCATTGTTAGTATTGGAATCCATTGTTGGAACAATCCATGTATGCAATGTTGGATTAAGCTGGCTATCTTTTGAACTTAACTTCTATGCATTTGAGATAACCTTAGCTAGGTACCACTTTAATATTTATCTTATCGTTAAATTCCGCATAAGATATTGTTTATTATTGCTGTTAAATCTAAGCGTGCAAACTTCACTAAGAAAATCATTTTCGCATGGGATTGTTGCACATCATCTAGCTAGCAGCTAGGGATTTGGGAGAGCCAAATTTATTTTTAGGGATTCTACTTCCCAATTTTGTTTTTCTCTGATTTTTGCTGAAACTGCATTCACTTTCTATCAGAGCTCAACACCAACTTCGTAGCTAATTAAACAATTAAATACACATACTTCAGTTTTTTCTACCAAAGCCTCAATAAAAATAATTTAGAATCAAATACTAAGAAAATAGAAAGGATAAAACAGGATGGTAAGATAGAAACCTTCACATCAGTTCCTCCTGTATGCATGAATTCTTCATATATGTAAGAGCCTTCTCGTCTTACTCTTCTAACCTCGGGATGGAATTCACTGGACCGATTTCCAACCTATTATTAGCCGAAAGCAAAAGTTTCACTAAATAAAAGTATATCAATAAAATTAATCAACTTAGAATATAATAAAACTGGCAAAAAATGTGATGCAGAATTCCAAACATATAGTAGTTGCAAGAAACACAAATTGGTTACGTTATATTGCTATCTTATTTTTTACCTACCTCTTAACGAAGGCATTATGAATGGTACACATAGTTTGTACGGCTCTTTAGAGCTTTTCAGAATAAGTTTGGTTGACAGCACAAAACAATATGTTTCAACGTGTAGTATACTGATGTAGAACGGGTAGGAGGTTTTGAATCCTAAGGGTCTTGAAGAGCAATTAGTGAGGTTTAAACAGCATCTTTGACAGCAGGGACAGCACTTTTCTCTTGTAGAAACTTCAGGACAGCAGGTAGAATCTGTCCGGAATGCAGAAAACTGTTCTGGCCAGCAACCTATATTGCTCAAAAAAGCTTTGGGCAGCACATAGAAACTCTGGGACAGCCATTCGTGACCTTCCAAAGTGCTGGACAGCAAGATATTCTTACTATAATAAGTGGAAAACCAAAGTCAGGTGCAGGAATTTCTGGCAGCAAGCTTGAGAAACAGAAATATGAAGTTGGCTGGGCTGTGAGGGAGGGTTTCGGAGGAAAGAAGCTTGTGCAGATACATGGGAAGGAGACGGATAGCTGAAGGAATGATTTCGAAATGTTTCCAAGTGGGAGGAGGGTGATTTGAGGAAAGAAATACGTATGAGGGCCTTGGGAGATTCCGGCTAAGGGAGATAGAGGCTGATTTGAATTTATTTCCAAGCGAGGAAGATGAGGTTTAGGAAATAAATCATTGCATTCATTATAGAGGGGGGACCGGCGGCATAATGATGAGGGAGGAGATTGGGGGAGATGATTTGGATTATTTAATTAAGGCCTTTAGGAATTAGGAAAGTGACTAAATAAATCTAATTTGAATTTGAATTTCAAATAGATTTAATTTAAGAGCATTCCTAAAATAGATTTGGTAAATTAGGAAAGATTTTGAATTTCAAATTAAGTATTTAGAATTCAAAATTCTGTCCAAAATTTATCCAATTCTAAATTGAGCATGGAGACGTAGAGAAGGGAAAGGGATGGTATGATTAATGAGGCATTCAATGCCAACTTAAATAATAAACTAAATTTGGGCATTGAACAGATTTCAATCCGCAATTAATTAAAAATTTAAAAGACTATGAATTAGTAAGTTTCCTAAAAATAGGGTTTTAGAAAATTGGCACTATTCAAAATTTAAAATAAATTTGAAATTTGATCATTAGGATAGTTACCTAAAATTGAAGCTAATTTATGAAGACTTGATGCAAGTGGAGAGGGGAGGAAACTGGCAAGGGGATGGCCGGCAGCTTGGGCTTGGCTATTGAAAGGTAGGTGGAGCTAAGTCCGGTTTGGTGGAGTACGAAGAGGAAGATAACAGACTATGATAATAAGAATGAAACAAAAAAATAAACAAAATTAAAAGATACAACGGCGATCCGACACATCCTGCGGCTGAAGGGTACTACGTTGCTTTCTCGCAAGGACTTCCACGCCACGAGCCCGCACCATCCTGCGGCTGGTGAACTCGACTCCTCCCATAGGGATTCATAACCGTTCCTTTCCCAAAGAACCCAAGTGCAATAAACAAATTTTTTTTTTTTAATATTCATCATACAATACAAGAGAATGGCCTCTATATATAGGCCTCAAAAGAAATTAAAAGACAGATTAGCCCCTTGGGCTTACATAAGACAAAAGGGTAAAAAGGGAAATTGCAAAATTAAATCAAAATACACTTAATATACTAAAATAAAACAAAGTGATCTCGGTCGTCGATCTTCAGCTCCTCCTCGGATAAGCATAGACGGTTGGATGTCCGCATCATATACAAAAGAAGTATAACATGTACTGGCAATCCTCAGCACAACGTCAAGAAGTGATCATAAGATATGTGTCATAACACACTAAATGTCTGGGCATGAACCTACAAAGTGTTGTCTGCAAGGACATGGATTTTTCCCGACTTAGACAAGTCAAGAGTTTTATCAAGACTATTTACAGCAAAAACGCAAAATATGAATCAGTATTATTTTTCAACCAGTAAAGACGATATTTATCTCAATCAGCATACCAAAAATTTGGCTATCCTGTGTTACTTAAAATATGAGAGAAGCCTAAACGCAAGAACCTTACTCTCACTTTTAAGTCATATCACCTTGATGATAGATAAGGTTTTCAAAAAATTATAACCGGAGGTGTTTACAAAATTATTGTCAACACACTTCATTTACAAAATTATTTTCCCCAGGTCCTCATTTCAAGCGTCTTACTTGAAATCTGATTACCATTTGAAGTACCATATTTCTTCTTCTATTTCTGCCCTGCCTAGTACGGAGAATTTGAAACATTTTGTCCATTAGTTCTTCTGTACCAAAATTACTAACATCAAGGTCAATAAATTGATAATATGGAATTGCAACATTACATTGGAAGTTTAATTTTGATTTGGGGAATGCATGTTAATATCCTGATTGCTAGAAGATTTTTGCAACTATGCGTGTGCCTGAAGCATCCTATGAAGTTATGATCAAAAGTTTTACAAGAACAATATGAAGGAATGTCTTCAAATTCTACATTCTGCCAATAGCCAAGAGTAGTAGAATCAAATCCCCTTCTCCAATGGGATAATTATGTAAATTTCAACCTAAACCCTAGCCATTAACAGACATGATAGCTTAGTAATAGCAACATACACTAAAAGCAGTTTACCAAAAATTGAACCGAGTGAAAACATCTTGAATTTTTTTAAATAGTGAAACCGTAGTCAAGAAAAAAAATAACTCAAACTATAGTAACTGGAGTTCCTAGGAACAACCAAAGAAAGTTTAGCACTTAAACATCCACAACGAAAAGCTATCCATATAGTATGACTTTCTTGATATGAGTCTTAAATAATTAATTTCTTGATAATTCGATAAGAACATGACGATAATCAACAAGCACAATTGAAAAACCTCCAATCAATGTCAAATAGGGGACATGAACTTACAAATAATCTAAATACCGAGATGGTAATCAAAATGCCGAGATGGCTCAAGAAAAACTTGCCAACAAGAGTAAAAGAGAATAGAGATGTCAACTCAGATATCTCATCATTAGAAAAAATGAGTATGGGTTTACCATGATAAAAGGAGAGCAAATTGTAATGAGTTGAATAGTTGATACAAGACCTTGTTGGCTTGTTGGAAATATATTGGAAATGGAAAGGACGACGCGGGTCAAAGATCATTATCCCCCCTAACAGCCTTAGCGGAAGAACAGGGAGTAGTACTATGCGGATATTTGATAGTAGTTGATATCCTAGGCATAACAGTGACCATAAGGTAATATCACATTGTGGGATTGCCTGAAGCCTCGCGAGCGACGAAGTAAATGGAATGGTACAGTAGGATGATATGAAGCTAGGGGAAGCAAACTTATATAACGAAAGGCATGAGAGATTGAACAAAATTTAAAGAGCAACTGGGGGATGAAGAACCTTATTGAAGCTTGCCACCCAAAGTGTTAAGGACGAAGACAAAATGAGTGCAAGCTATGCTGACATTGGGGACATTAGTGCTAGGGAAAAAGAGCACAATACAAGCACATGGACCGGATCATGAGCATGAGCAAGCCATCAAACTTCTAATGAGGGATGAAGCCCTATTTTAACCAATGATGACTTAAAATTTTCCCCTATGTTTACAAGGTATCCTTGAACCATGCAACGCATTGTTGTGACAATTATCCTCTAGTCAAGTTGGGTATACTACCTCCATTAATTAGGTAAATCAACGTTCAGGACAACTTGAAATAACATGACCATGGATCTTCATCATGCTTGTTGTCATTCCCCTGTAATTCGCTCAGAGCCAATAAATGTATATTATTTCCTCCAATTCAAATTGATGTTATTAAATTAAATTATTGAGCTTACAAACTAGCCATAAACAAAAAAATCTCTCATAATTTAAATGAATAATTAATCATACAAGTTTAACCTTTATGAAAACCTTGAGCAAGATACAAAGTCCTTTATAAGAGAAACTTTATCAATAGTGTCTTATTAAATATCCAACATGGCTCATGAAAAATCAACTCAGCAACAACGGAATTTAAAAGAGCACACAACATGCACGAGTGTTATGTGATTAATTTTATGTTTTTATCTACAATTTTTGGATTACACATTACCTTGAGCTATTCCTTGGGATCTAAGTAAATCTTTGGGTTCAAATACTATATTGAGATGGGTAGCTTCTATTTATTTAAGTCAATATATCTAGCTTTGTTAGAGACATATCACATAATCACATATGCCCCTTCCTTGACAATTGATGTACGGTTCAATATATATATATATATATATTATATATATATATATATATATATATATATATATACAAAATGTGCTAGATAGTAATAGATACGCTAGTTGTGGTCCTTAGCAACTGTTTTATAAACATATTGCTTTAATCTCTAAGAAGGAATTCATGTGATTAGATGCAATGTATTTTGTTGCATATTTCAACTAGCCAAGCATTGATATTTTGTATTGTAGTACAGTTGATATGATTGTAACATATTTCTAATCACGTATATTTTTAATCATTTATGGTATAAATAATCATAATGCAAAGCCATTTTCCTTCTATTGTTCATGGTAGATCTTAAATAGCTATAAATGCTTGTATGCTTGATGGATAAGATCGTGAGTAGTGAACTATTGAATGAGATACTATTGGTTAGACTATTCAACAAGCTTCTTACGAAAAGGGACAACTATAGTAAGAGGAGATCAAAAGACTCTATCGGGCTTTTTTTATATAAAGCATAATTTTATAACTGAAAAATAATATGAGAATAACAAAGGGCATTTATAAAGAATTTCCAACAAAAAAAAATGCAAAAAAATAAAATTAAAAAAGGGTGAAAAATCATTTGGATTAGGAAAACTTTAAAACTAATTTGAAATGCCCTGTTTTAAATATTGTGAATACAGTTGAACGATGTGATTTTTTTCCTATTACTGGCCAATTTGACAAACAGAATTTATCCAATCTACCAGAGCATCAACGCTTTAAATGCTCCCATCTGAATCATAAGGCTAGCCTGAATCATGATCATCAACATCTTCAATATTTAAGGGAGATGAGGTGCTACAAGAGTAAGAGAATCAATATCAACGTTCTTTCTTGCAAGTGAAGCAGTGACCATATTGATGGCACTAGCAAGGACAGTCACAACAATCCCTAATTTCAAAAAAAATTGGTTCCAAATTCACAGTGTAAAACTAATCTGATGAAGGAGGAGCAACAATCATAGTGATAGAAGGTGGGATATGAACATTTGTTTGCACCCCTTGTGCCTGAAATTTTGGTTTCTAAAATCCTAAATGAGCCGTCAAACATTTAGAATAATTATGCAATTGGTTGGATGAAGATTGATTCATTCATGAGTCCCGCAACCATTAAACAAATTTGGCAAAAGAAGTGCAAGCACTATGAGACTCAGTGTTTGTTGATATAAAAGCAGTAGGAAGAGCTTCCAATAAAAATAGGACCATTAAAAAAAGTAACAGTGATTACAGTGATTGAATTGAGGATTCAGTTAAGACCCTCGATACAAATGATGTGGGGGCCGGTGAGAATGAGTTGGGATTGAAGTGAGCAAATATAAGTGCTAACACTTGCTACTTGATAAGGTCGAAGATGCTAGCAACAAAGAATTTGAGCAAGTAAATGTGATAACTGAGCAAATGGGAGAGTAGTGGTTAACAAACAAGATGGTTGGTAGGGCTGCATCCTTAAAGGGTATGCCATCGAACATCATGAGCAGGCGCGGTAATACTGGCGCAATTGCCTCACTCATGAGCACTAATTAAGCCAGATGGGGAGAGTGAGACAAGCACACTCGTGAGTGAACACTAGCTGCAGAACACAAGCTAAGGGAACATGCAAGATGAATGCGCACGTACGTGCGCACAAAAAATGGTGGTGGAATGCAGACAACGCAAGAACGCCTCGAGCACAAGCACAAGACAAGATTATCGGAGCAATGTGTGACGAACAGTATTTGCAGACTCCATCAAGTAGATGGCAACCTTTTAATTGAACCCGGGCTATGTATGAGCCGACACATTATTATATAATACTAATGATGGAAAAATAGTCATGGTGGTCAAACGGGGCTTGATGTTTTCCTTATATATGAAAACACGGTCTGTATACTTGAAAGATAATTTATACTTGCAATTGAATGCCAATGTTAGTGAACTGAAGATGAATTGTATTATTACTTCCAATTCATAAGCTAGGTTGCCAAACTTCATGACTATTAATGTTATGGGTTTACAGATGTTTCATGCTGCTAAACATCATAAATTCGTGATTTATATAAGCATTTTTTATTAATCGTGTAATGTCAATGATCATATTACATGCTCCAAAACTTATTCATGCCTTCTTAAACAGCAGTTACCTACTAAGTTTGCCGAACAAACCCATGCTATGTTATTTATCCTACGACGTTGATTGCCAGACAATCGTGATTGGCGAAGCCTCAAAAGAAGTAGATTTAATTTTCTTTGTTTCTGAATATTCCTTCATTTTAAAGTATAATTTTTCAATTGCAGCCTATTTCCACCTCTTTCAGAAGTGAGATATATCAATTTATTAGTATTAGACTATTATAAAACCAATGCTTTAATATTTTTAAAAAAATAGTTATGCATGTAAATTTACTTATACAGAGCTGTCTTAGTTAGTCTTAATCCCTCAAGTTGTTCGGTTAAGTTCATCGTGTTTCACATTATCAGGATGTACCATCTATCGGACTCAGGGCAGCGCAATGAAAGAATTCATGTACTACAGCAAACAACTTGCACACATAATTAAGCCAATCCGAGAGCCGAAAAAACCCCCTATTATGCCAAAACATGCTTAGATTTTTCATGCTAGTAAAAAAACTCTATGAATGTGATGTGATACGTTCAAGAATTGCACATGAAATTCATTAAGAATCACAAAGTATACCAGTGTAAGATTAGAGTATCGTAGGTTAAAGTTCAAGAATTTTCCATTGTCAAAATGCTATGATAAGCAGTTACAAACTAGTTGTTTAGACACAATTAATGATAGATCTCCAAAAGTATCACAATAAAGCAAATGTTGAAACTAATAGAATCCCACGGCTAATGTCTAGAAAGTTCACAACGAGTTACCTTGCTCACTCACACTCAAGTAGGGCTTAGCGGGAGAAGGTCTTTAACAAACTCAACGATGCCACTAAGACGGTAGCAAGACCAATAGCCTTGATCCACGGAAAGGTTGAAGGTGGCGGAGATGGCGGGGATGGATGAACGTGGATGATCCAGTCGTAGTCTTGATATTGATCGTCTATGACGTCCACAAGAGTAGGAAGAATGCGATTCAGATAGTCTTCAATAGTGTCGTCGAATCCAAATCCGATGTCGAAGAACTCAGAACGGGTAATGTGGACGTCGCCGTAGATATCGTACACGAATCCGCTATCAAGCTCGGGATCCGCCATGCATAATTGAAATGGAGAGGGGAGGCGTCGTTGTCTCCTTTCCTTGGCTTCCCAATTCACAAGAGAAGCAAGATGGGGCAGCGGGAGCAAGAGGAAGAAGGGAGGCCGGAGGGTGCAAGGGAAAAGGCTAGCGTTGGAGAGAAGTGTTAGGGAATTATGGAGGGGATTAATCAAAAACTGAAATTTAATTTCAGTTTTGATTAAATTAGGAGGGATTTGACTTGAATTTTGAATTTCAAATCAAATGGAATTAAGGCATTGATTGGTGAAACTCATGTGTCATCAATGCATTAATGGGGGGCATTGATGGGGCTCCATCCAAGTGTGGCCGGCGGCTTATAGAGGGGAGAAATTGATGTGGGGGCAATGGAAAGTTTTCCAAATCAGCACATAAGATCTAGGAAGGAGTATGAAGAAATCCATTCGAATTTGAATTTCGTCATGAAGCGTTTTCAAAACTTTCCTAATTAGGATCTTGACAAATTTGGAAAGTTTTGCAATTTACTCAATTTTGAATTTCAAAATTTGAGCAAATGGAGGAGTGGGGAAAGGGGGCCGGTGGTGAGGTGGTGGGAGAGGTGGTAGGGGAGGGGTGGCCGGCGGCCAAAGGGATGGCCGGCGGATGGGCTTTCAGTTGGTGGAGGTGGAAATAAATGGGGTTCGATTTGGAGTTGGTGAGAAGATGATTTAGGTGATGGAAAAATGAGGGGAAAACACAAAAGAAGATAAAACGACCTTAACCACGAGCCGCGGACTCTTCCAACGACTGGTGGGCCTTGCGAATTGCTCCCCTTGAGCTATCTTCCCTCTCAAGCACTCATGCTAGAAAAGTAGAAACAAAACATCAATTTTCATTCAAATATTCATTAGCTTTTACAAAGCATGAGACCCCTATAAATAGGTCTTAAAACATGAGGAAATAAAAGTACTCAAATGCCCTTTGGGCTATAAAAAGACAACACTCCCCATAGGGGTAAACTAGGAAATAAAAATGCCAACTAATTAAAACATGAAATAAATCAAAAATAAAGACTCTGAATCGTAGCCGTCGATCTTCACTGTCTCCGGCGATACACATGCTTGAACCTCTGATCGATGTCCAAATCAGAATGAGCACTCAAAGGAAGGTAAAACATAATCTTCACAATAATAAGTACATTAAAATTATATCAATTCAAATGACATCATGAAGTGACAAAATTATAAATTGTTGAAACTTAGACAATCTTGAGTCATCACTAAAGCCGTTTCCAAGGTTCAAAAAAATCAAAAGCACCAAAAACTACATTAAAATGTAAATCAGTGACTCACCTTTCTAAACAATTCTTTCATCCCCCCGCCAGCTGAACTCGGATAATATATCATAATGCTATGATCATCCCCTTTCAAAATATAACATCGAGAATTAGTTCTACAACAAAATAGGATTAAACTACAAGCGATTGCATAAATATCAAAAAACTTATTAAATAATGTGTCACCTTTTACGAAGGAAGATAAAATGGCTACAGAAATGGCAGTACATGGCACAAATGTTAAAAGCATAGTTATCCAAGCTGTTTTCTAACCGTAACTTAAAAAATTCAAGTTTTGCAAATAGCCAGTGATGCAAATCGACAGATTAATTTGGTTCGGCTTGCAGCTAAGCCAAGTTGGTTATTGAGTTTCTGTTAATGGGCCAATTTGTGGGTGATGCATGCATTATTTCAGTTTATTTTCATTTTATTGTAATTTGAATACTATAACGTTTGTTTAGTTTTTTTATGCTAACCTATGATGGAAATCATCCAATGATCATGAGTAGGATGCGCTTGGGTATGGCAAGCCTTGGGTGTGCTAGTTTCTTGGGTTCTTTTGGTCTTTGGGCTGCTTGTTGCCTCTCGGGTTGGGCCTTGGCTGCTTTGGTTTTTAACTGAATTTTGGGAGCTATTTGGTTCTAGCTCATTAATGCTTGAGCTGATATTTTAGCTCATTATTTGGAGGATTCCTTGCACTTGAAAGCTCATTATGTGGAGCTAGAACCTTGCCTTTTCCCCTTCTTAGTGTCCCCTCGATTTCTCCCGGTGTTGTTTCCCGTGGTTGTTTCATGCTCCTTCCCGTGGGCTGTTCCAATCCCCCTGCTCTATCTTGATTCCCTGGGCGCCTGCTCCTTTATCGTGGCTGCTATTACCCGGTTCTCTGTACTGTCTTTTCGGGTGTTGTGACAGGATTATTTCTGACCTTTTTTATTGGTTTAGATAGAGGTGAAATGGTTGTTTGGCAGCCCCCTTCTCTCTTATAAATTAGAGATGTTTTTGACATGAGAAGGTTGTTGATGAACCTGAGAAAAGTTTCTAAAAACCTGAGGGTTTCTTCTTCTTCCTTGGAAAAGCTTGAGAGCTTGTTCCAATTCTCTCTTCCTCCTCTCTATTTCGTCTTGGGCTTCTAATCTCTTCTTCTCTATGCAAGTTCCACTCCACTTGTATCATTCTTCTTGAGCTATTGGAGGTATTTGTTGGTAGAATTTGGTGATATTTGCTGGAGGAGTTTGGTTGGATGTTGGGCCTTGTTGCTTTGGTGGACCCTTGGTTTGCAAGCCCTAAGCACTTATCATATTTTACCTACTTTTCGTTGCATGTGAGGAAACCGCTTGTCGGTTGTTTTGAGGATAGTGTTTTTATTTTATAATTTTGTTTCATTTGTTCAACTTTTTGTTTGCTTTAGTGTTTGTTTGGATGTTTGCATTCTAGATTGAATCGAGTTTGGTTTAAATTGTCCTAGTGTTCTCCTATTTTGACTTTTCTTTCTAGTTTGCCTGCATCAGTGGGACTTTGAGCCCATGATTTGAGTTTATTGGTTACTAGTTTGCTTATTGTTGACCCTATTTATTGGCTATTTCAATTTGATTATGTAGTGTGATGTTACAAATAAAAGTTATTTGATTCATCTGTGGTAGATTTATGATGTATGCATAGCTATTAATGGCAAGAGGCTTTCAACTTCGGATTAAATGATTTGACTGGCTATACTTCTAATTCATTGTTGGTTCCCAGTATGATTATTTAAATGTATTAGTTCAGAGAGAACTGAACAGCAAACAATATCATTGAGCAGTGTAAGTTCTCTGGTACAATTATCTGGGCTTCAACTCTGAATTTCCTGAGTTGCAATTGTTTGTTATATTGACAATGGGCCGTAGCAATGTTGTTCCCTACTGATGGTGAAAAGCTGATTGAATTCCTGTAGAAAAAAAAGGCAATTGTGGCTTTGCTAGGCGTAGCCAAGCGGGTACTACGGTGTTGAAAAACATGAATTGAAAATATATAAACAAGTCTCAATCTGAACTGATCTTTTTGCTATCAACTGCGCCAGAAAGAGGGGCAATTCATCATACAAGGCCACTTGAGAGAATCCAAATTGGTGAGCTGCCTTTGTTGGGTGGAATCTCTCTAGGATCATTGATCAATCAAATTAGTAAAATAGTCATCCAGTTCTTATGCTAATGAAATGATATGATGTTAAGAAATCAATCGTTGTGAAGAGGTGCTTGTTCGCCCATGGTGTGAGTGAGACATGTCCGTATCACATGAGTAGGCAACCCACCTAAATCTAGCATTCAATATGAATGACAACCCATCATCAGCTAAGTGACGAAGCTCCCTTTACGAGGCCAAATCTATAAATACAACAAAATATCACAGGAGCTAAAGAAAATAAGTAAATTAAGCCTATTAATGACAGGACTCTAGATCACAGAGCTCTGTATCTTTATTACGTAATAATTACTAAACATTGGTCCATGGCATCACTCCGAAAAAAATTAATGAATCCAAGTATCCAGAGAATAAGTAGACCAAGCCTGAGAGCTGAAGGCTTTGTTAATTCATGCAATTGATGTCAGTGGCACAAGCATTTATTTTGCTCTTTTAGAATGTATGCATTTTAAATGCATATAACTAGAAAAATCTTAATCAAGGGTTCTCTCACATCTGAGAAGGTAGATAAACAGTGGGAGCTAATGCTCACGGGAAAGGTCAAACAAGGAAAATAAGCCCTCAAAAAGGGTGAAATAGCTTGGGTGTTCTTTATCCACTCCAATCTGACTCGAAAAATAGTCAGCAACATGCCCAACCGTCTAGTAAAGACTTTTCAGGTCACAAAAGGAGAACTAACAAGGCAAAGAAGCAATACCTTATCACATAAAGAGGTAGCACAGTACGTGCATAAACTAGTAAAATAATTAAAAACTACTAGCAAAACTTCTCAAATCAGAGCTTACAATGTAAAGTTAGTGATCGATAACTCAGATTTAAACTGATAGAAGTAATTATAGGAAACTACTATTACCATCAATAGGCTTCTCCACAAAAGGTTTCCAAAACCGTTTCCCATGTACTTCAACAAAGTCTTCGTGCTCAAAAAAGTAATCCAGCTCTTGGTAAGAATGTTCTCTATTTACAAGAGCATAATTAGGAACAGGAACTCCAAACTCCTCAAGTCGCTTCAAGTAACAAAAATAAGTTTCAAAATCAGAAATACATAGAAATTCTAAATTAAGAAAGTAACTAAAGTCATTTAAGAAATGATGATAAACTTCAATCTAAAGTGAAGAGCCAAGTCCCAGGTTAAACACAAGGAATACCTTTGAGAAATTAAATTCTAGAAGTTCAAAAAAATATATATATTGCTTTCTAATATATTCAATAAGTCTGCTTAATTTAATTTGGTAACTATTTTATTCACATAGGTCAATGAGAACTCGTTTTAGGAAAAAATGTATTAGTAGCTTATATTTTCTGGTCACAGCATTAAATATTTAGCATCATGCATTTCGATAACAAATGTTACAAAACATAATAATATATATAATTCTATTTTTAATGGAATAACTACCTCATACGTCTTCATATATTTACATTCGACGTTTACTTATGAAAAAACTAGAGATGGAACTCCTAAACAACCAATGATCCAAGAAGATTAAACCGCACGGTTAGCTTCTAAACAAGTCGGCTCAGTTCAGAAAACCTCAAAAAGAGAATTTAGAGCTATTAAAGTATCCAGGAGTTTGGAAAATTGAACCGCATAACCAATTCGTTATGATTAGAGAATCCATTACCTATTAAGCTTACGTAAATTGGAGCGCTCTCATTCGGGGGTTCTCATTATATTAAAAAAAATACAAGACAAAAATACAACAATCACATTTGGCAAAATCTACAACAGGAATTATATAATCATAAAATCAGAAATTATTATTGAAAAGCCTGGCAAAAGATATTATCATAAATGTAGCAAATTATTAAAAAGGAATTAAAATCTATTTTTAAATAATAAAAAAACATATTTTTTTTCAAATTCTTCAAAAATTCCATACCCATGTGTAGCATCAATTACTGGCAAGAAAATTTAAGACAAAACAATTACCTCATAGACCTTTCTTCTATCATGGAGAAGGTATTGCGGCTCCAACTCATTTACTAAGAATGGCCTAATAAAAAATAAAATTTGCTTAACAAGAATACTAAATCTAAAGATCAAAATATAATAAACTATAAAAGACAAGAAGCATGGAAATCAAAATTGAAGAATAAAACCAATTAATCATTTTCCTCATATTACATGTAGAATGAAGCCAAAAAAAGGAGGGGATTGAGAAAGTTTTAAGAAGCCGCAATGGTCAAGTGGCTCAATTAACATAGTGGAAAAAAAACTTTCCCTTTCAACATGCTTGTCTCCACATTAAAGTTATCGCTCCAACAAATTAAACATTTGTAATGATTGTTTTCTCCCACATTATAAAGTGAAATTTTCTATGTCCTACATAGTAAGAAAGCAATCTTGTAACACCCAAATCCAATGAATTTTTCGAGGTGTCTGAATGAAAAAACAAATTGCCTTTCTAAAAATTTCATTAAGTCCATTTTTTTAATTAATATAGGTCCTTTAAACATTTGTAATGATTGTTTTCTACCACATCATAAAGTGAACAATTTCTATGTCCTACATCGGAAGAAAGCAATCTTGTAACACCCAATCCAATGGACTTTTCGAGGTGTATGAATGAAAAAACAACAATTGCCTTCCTAAAAATTTCATTAAGTCCATTTTTTAAATTAATAGAGGTCCTTTGTTTGTTTCCTTTATTTGTTTATCTCTTTCTCTTTTTGGTACTCGTGATGTAAAATTATCCAAAAGACCAAGCCCAAAAGCTACCATTCCTCTCTCCCTCTTTCTTTCACAATATATTTATGGGATAATCATCTCCAAGAGAAAAGATGGGTCATGTCTCTCAACCACAAGAGATGAAAATCAAGGAGCTAACTAACCATACTTTTATTCAAGAGAAAGGTAGGGAAAAAGAAAAATACAGGAATAGTAGAGGACTTGTGTAAAACAATCCATAAGAGAAAAGTAACAACAGGAAACTTTTCAAAAGGTTTTTTTTATTTAATTTCAAAAGGTGATATTGTCTTCTTATTATATTAGTTACAAGAAGCTAACTTATGACTCAAGGGACCAAATAATTAATTATGGAGACCATATGAATAGAATTATCATGACAAATTCAGAAAGGCATAAATAATTTTCACACTGAATAACATAAGCGTGTTCCCTTTTTCCTTTAACCCCCAACCCAAATAAGGTTGTTCATTCTTTTTTTTTTCTCTTTAAGCCCCAACCATGATAATTACGGTATTTAGGAGGACCATAAAGAGTTCATATAGCAAGGTAAGCAGGCATAATAAAAAAACTATAAGTCTATAGATACGGTCTAATTATAAATTTCTTATCATATCCTAAATGTCAGTTTTCCACTATCCTTGGCACACATTTGCATTGGATAACAAAATCTACCAAAATGGCACATATAAACCCCATTTCTTTATTTGAAGTCCTTCAAAGAACATGTATAATATTATCATATTTTGCATAGCCATTTTTCAGAATGGATTTTAGACCTATCAACAACTCTATTAATTAGACTTCAGAAGGGTTCTAGCAACAACAAGACTGTCCAACCTTACTAAAAGGAAATTGAAGGATACTATAGCCAAGTCTTTCTTCAAGAGATGCATATTTATAGTGTAAGTGAACTACTTTTTTAGTCTCATTCCTGCAAAAATCAAATCAATTCATTAAATAATAACATGATGCAATATTGAACACGGCAAAAAATCACTACATATTAACTAATATTTCAGAACAAGCATTCATGTTTGATTACCACAAATTCCTTGAATGTTGTATGGCAATGCCATGTCAAAATCTTTGGTGAGATATAAGGTAGAATTTTTTATCCCTAGGCCGAGATGAAAAGGACTATTTCGATCAACCAAGGTGAGTGATTTATGATTACTCAATCAAAAATTAGAAACTTATCGATGAATGAAATCTATCCACTACACTTCTACATTTTATCAATGTTTCTGCCTTTTTTTATCTTCATAAATCTTTCACGAGTCATTTTATTGAGCAAGAAGATGGAGTGGCAGGCCTCGAAATGCGTGCAAAATTGTTTGAGAATACTAAATAAATTTATGGTTTTTTTTATTTTTTTATCATTTTTTTGTATTTTTTTATATTTTTCTTGAATCTCTTCACTTTACCTCTTATTTTTATCTACTTTGTTCATTTTTTATTTAAAAAAAAAACTCAAAATATTAAAAACAATCCTCATCCACTCGACTCACTCAATCACGTATGCAAGAGACATAATATTTAAGCTGAAGAATATTATTCCTCCTTTTCAAAGAAATTAATACACTCTTAGTAGTGATATGATTTTTGAGCCCAACTTCCCTCGGGAAAGCACCATCAACCCGCGTCTCCAATTGCAATTTCTTTGTTCTCATTCACATCATCGTATTCATTGATATGCACAAAAGATTTTGCATTTTTTGGGTTAGTACACTTTTTGGAGCTCGCATGCACTTTTAGACATGGCATAATTTGAACTAGAATTTGCTTGAGTATGTGTGTCCACCAATCAAAACTATCTAGATTTGATATTTGTCTTGTTGGTGGCAGATCAAAATGAGCAAATGGTTTCGCATGCATGTGGATTTGGTTGTATTTTAGTCATTTGCATGCTTTTCTACATGAGCAAGTCTTTTTTTTTTTTTTTCCTCATTTGTATGCTTAACCCTTAAAATTTAGAGAGTACTTCGAATGATGTCATTTTATTCACATTTTGTTTGTCAATGCTTAGGCTTTTCCAACAAGGGAAGAATTCATGCTTGTAAATGAAGGTGCATTGCATGTCTGTTTCATGTCCCATTTTAGTCCTTAGCATTTGTGATTATTGGCAAACCGCCGAAGTTTATGTAAGCCCATTTTTGTTCACTTTTTTCCTTATTTTATATTTTTAGCCCTTGTTTTATTTTTGTCATATTAACTTGGACGGAAGAGAGATTTTGTGCAACTTTTCCTAGGTTTGGATATTGCTTTCGCATCATCCCTGCAAAAGGATACCATACAATATATCAAGCCTTCTGCACACATTAGAAAAAATATGTATGGATGCCTGGATGGACAATGATTGAAATTAGAGCCTTCACTATGTAAAGAAAGATGCATATGGTTAGTGGACGAGCATTCAAGCCTTCCATGACAACATAAGCATCTATGGATGTTAAAGTTGATTCCATATACAAAGGGATTGGAAAATGCAATATTACGGTCTCCCCATCATATCAAGAAAGGCAACTAAGGGGAGCATGCAAAATAGACAAGGTCGCTCCATATACTTTGGCCAAGGTTGGCGGCCTATTCGTAAAGCAAGGACAAAACTTGGGTGGCTAGGTTAAAGCAAGGAGAAAGAGGAAGAAAGGCGTATGTAAAACTTGGGTGGCTAGGTTAAAGGAGAGGAAAGGAGGTAGCGAAATGATAGGGGTGCACAAAGATCTATATAATACCTGGGGTGCTAAAGGTATCTCTACAACACTTAGGGTGCTTAGCCTCCCTAGTTTCCCAAACATAAGGCAAAAATTGAGATTTCAATTTTTTTAATATTTATTTAACTTAACTTTATAAATAATATTATTATCATTATTTTTTGGGGAAATATATGCATGCACTAGCTCCCCTATGAATTATCTGCTCTCAAGAAGGTATACTTTAGCTTATTTGTAACTAAACTTGAGTGGTATGCAAAGGGGATGGAGGGGGTCATTTTAAATCATTTCAGCATTTCAGACACATTGGGACTACAAGTGTAGTGAGTCGAGTTGGCTTAAGAGCCAACTCGAGCTGTACACGCTAACAATCTCATGCGTCGAGTTTATCGAGCCAAGAGATTGAGGTCGAGCCTATACTCGAGCTCATATATTAAACAAGCTCGAGCTCGAGCTCAACCTAGCTCGGCTCGTAAGCTAGTTGAGTCGCTCGATTAACATAAAATATATTTAAAAATTAATTTAAATTAGTATTGTATAATATATTTTGAGATTTTAAAATTAATTATATATTAAAAAAGATCTTTAAAAAACTGAAATTTTTTTTGTTTTAAACTGTGAACTCAAGCTCGAGTTTTCCAAATGAGCTCGAGCAATAGCACCGAGCTCAAGCCAATGAATTTTTTAACGAGCCGATCTCAAACTTAGTAAATGAGCTCAATTCAAGCTCGAGCTCAATAAAAACTAAATAAGCATAACTCGATTAGGCAGATACTCGACTCGACTCTTTTACACCTCTAATTGGGGCTGTAAAATTGATGTAATAAGCAACAAATTTGGGATGTTTTGAGTCAATCTTTTGTAAGGCAATATTTCTATGTATTTGTTGTCGTTATATGTGACCCAGATAATTTGTGAATCTAATATGTAGGCCAACACAAGTTAAACAAAAAATAGACATGAAAACCAATACTAATGAAATTGAAGTAAACATAAAACCTATAATCATGAAAACCATTCTATTTATCCAGCAAATAAAAGTGTTTGCAGATTATGCAAGAATCCTCACTTCCGTAGTGCAGCATAAGCTTCTGCTTTTTGGAGCGGATAACCAGAAGAATAGAAGGCAATCAAGCAATCACAGATTGGCCAGCTGAAATTCAGAAAATAACATGTCATTAACAGATATAATTAGCTAACCAAAATATATCACTGCAAAAAAACTTAAGTGATGAAACATCTCAAAGACAATCTGAACAGTAATAAATAAATAAGCTCATAAGAAATAACATGAATTGTTGAGCTCACAAGAAATAACATGAAACATATAATTTACTTAAGAAAGAGAAACCTCAAGGGAAAATGTGCCATTAAATTAATTAAAATATCAAAAAATTCAAATGTCAATAAGGTGTAAAATAATGGCGTCTTCTGAAACTAATAGCCACTTACATGCTTAGAATTTTCTCTTTAAACTAATATACATAGAGCCATGGTGCAGGAAACTAACTTTCTGCATTTATTTCAGATTAAAATCAGCATGAAATAATCAAATGAGCGCATAAAACAGCATTTAACAAGTTAAAAAATATATAAAAGAGAAATTAACCATATATATATAATTAAAGTGATCTTTGCTACACTCTCAAGTGCAGAAATAGCTGCTAAGATAGTTTTTGATTATCATTGATTGAACTTAGTGATGCAAAATTGAAGTGCAGGTACAATATGATTTGATGCTAAAATATGAAACTTAAAGCAGCAAATTCTGAATTTCCACATCTAGCTCATTAGAGAATACTAGCAGGTATCAATCCAAAAGTCAGTTTGCTAATCCCAGCTGAAGTGATGAAGTAAACTGAAAATTTTTATTTAGAAAGTACGATTTTGACATCATAAGCAGAAAGCATGTGCAACTGTCGTAAGCAAATTCACAGGGTTGGGATATGAATGTCCAACATATGTTCAACTAATGTTGCAAAACAAATGCATGCTAACATGTATCCAAACTAAATGAATAAATGCTTACAAATACAATGGATTTATTCAAAGAAAACCATGGATAACAAATAGGTAAACTAGTGAATTCCATTTGGAAACTATAATCCAAGCATTATCGCATCCGAAAAGGTCTTTTTCGGGTTATCCACGTGTGAATGTAAAAAATAACATCAAACAATATGTAATATTATGTGAATAGGCAAAGGTTTTGGATTGCAATTCAATTTCTCCCAATGTTGACATACTCTTCTACTGGATCCTCAAGGATAACTTTGTCACCAAATAATATTATCTGCATCAAAAGACAATCAATCAATAAAACGTTTAGAATAGGCTTCAACAGTGTAGAAGAAAATGGAAGCACAAACCAAAGTAGAAAAAAATGATCGAAATGACTAAACAAAAATAGGCATAAAAAATATACCCAAATATTGGTGAAATGCCACTTAAGTTAAAAATTAATACGCTATTAGATGTCTAACTTGTGCATTTGGAAAAGGATTTAATATTCCAATATAAAGTGTCACTAATATGAACGTTATAATATATTGATACCATAAAGAAAGTAAAAAGGAAGTATAAATGAAAATTTTCCTAACCAATATAAAAAGGAAAAAAAAATCCTAAATAATCCCACAACTATTTATATAAAGTCAATTAATCCTAGAATACCACATTTCTCCAATTTAGTCTCTCTATTACATAAAACTGTCACAAATAGTCCCTCAGGAACTAAATTAGGATTATTTTTACATGGTGACTAAATTTGGATAAATGTTATGTCCTAATTTCCATCAATTTCTAGTCATGGGACCATTTAGAATCAATTTTGTATATTTGAGGAACTAAATTGAAGAAATGAAAAGCTTCCACAAATTATTTTGGGCTTTTTATAAAGAATAAAATTAAAAAAAAAAACTGCATAAATATATTCATCAACTTTTAAAAACTCTAAAATTATTTCTATGACAGATTAGAGACACCGTATTAGCACAAGGAAACGAAGGAAATCAATAACATCTAGTAAAACATGTAATAAGCAGCATAAAACAAATTAGAAACCAATTAACAAACCAACCTCAAATTCCCCAAAAGCCTGTAGCCTCTCCAGAATTTGCCCCATGGGTGCAGAGTGTACCTACAACAAGAAAAAAACAATGCAAAATAAGAATCAAGGAGACCCCAACCAACCAATCCAGTCAGAAATCAAACATCCCTCTAATTGCGCTGGATGCCAACCCGAATACGAGGATACCTCAAAAGAAAACAACCATTATTATTTCCTTTCAATGCAAAACCGATCCATAACACCAAGCACAAACGAATTTAGTAAGAAATAGAACCTCTGCTCCGCATTTCACCTTCTTTTCCATGACGCATACGCCGATCTTAATCTTCGCCGACGCGG